AAGTCATCACAAAAAGTAATGAAGTACCTTTTACCTCCTCGGGTAAATATTCCATTTAATTCACAAATATCATAATGAATCAACTCTAAAATTGATGTGTCCCTTTTAACAGAAGGAAAAGGTTTATTTGTAAACTTTGATTTTACACAAGTTTCACACTTTTCAAAATCTTTGTTATCAATTTTGATTAATCCTTTGTTATGCATTTTTTCAATATTTTTTACATTTGTATGCGCAAGACGTTTATGTCATAAAGAAATAGAACAAACAGAATAATCCAAAGAAGCAACTTTATTAAAATCATTTGGGATTACATCAATCATAGAAACAGAAAAATTTGAAACATCTTCAGACGTGGTTAAAACATTATTTCCTACTGAATCACTAGTTCCGACCTCCTCACTACCATCCTCACTCAGATTCAGGCGATACATACCCAACTTGGTAGTATCCCTTTCCAATGAACGTCTTCCTCTTGTATATCACGAGCTTCCTTGACTCTATATTTATTCCAAACCCATTTTCATCGCGTTTGCTTGCAGAGACGAGGCTCTTGTTAATGGAAGGCACGTGAAGAACATTTTGGAGAGTGACGGTCTTGCCGTAAGTGAACTTCAGTAGTACGGTACCCATTCCAACGACATCCGCACGGTTGTTGTTAGCAACTATCACTTGCTTCCCATCTCAAACTGATCCATATTCAACAAACTTGGACCTGGAGTCACAAACATGAACAATGGCTCCAGAATCCAAGTACCAGCCACCTCTTCCAACCACAATTCTTGTAGAGGCCTCTGAGATCATATCAATCTCTTCCATGTGGAGATTCGCCACAAGGTGTTGAATCCCCTCAACATAATTAGCAGCAGGGGGTCCGGACTTTTTGTCCTTACATTCACGAGCGTAGTGTCCCGTCTCTCCGTAGACGTGACATCTTTCGACCCTCTTAAATTTCTACCCCGGGTTTGATTGATTACCAGATCTCTTGAAACTTTTCTTTTGTGGACCTAAGTTCCACTTTCTGTTTGGACCTCCGGTCCTTCCCTTACCCTTGCCTCCAGCCTGCACGCTCTTGGCATTCATCAAAGATTTGCCTCTCTTTTCCCGATTACGTGCCTCTTCCTCGTTTCGAAGATGTTTTAGTAAATCATCCAAAGAATAATCTTCGGTTTTGTGTATCATTCTTTTAGAAAAATCTTTCCAAGATGGTGGCAGTTTGTCAATCACTGCCCCTACTTTAAAATTTTCAGGAATAGCAATCGAAAGCATTTAAAGTTTATTTACTAAAACTTGGAGCTCATGCACTTGCTCCAGAATCGGTATTTCATCAACCATTTGAAATCTCAAATACTGAGACACAAGATATTTGTTAGTGCCATCTTCTTGTGACTTGTAATTGAATTTCAATGCTTTCCACAACTCTCTAGGGCACGTAATCGGGAATACAGATCATACAAACGATCTGACATAGCATTCTTAATATCTCCACAAGCAAGAGTTTCCTCTTCCTTACAGATCATCCTCAGTTTTTCCAGATCAGCAATTCTTTGAAGATCCGGCTGTTGCCCTGCTTCAGGGACCAAATGTTCGGGAATAGGTGGGAGGCTTAGGTCTAGAACATAATAGAATTTTACCACCGTTAACATGAACTTTATTTTGTCCACCCAACGAGTGTAACTTGACCCGTCAAACTTCTCGAGTTTCATCATATCTTGATTAAGAATACGGTAGTTTCTAGTGTCCATAACGTTTTAAAACCTTAAAGAATGTTGAAAAGTATTCGAGAAAGATAGATGAAAACAAAATAAAGTTTTAGTCTTTATAAAAAAACTTTAAATCTTTAACAAACAAAATTAAACCCTTTTAAATTTCAGAACCCACAACACCTCAGAGTGTCAATTTACACAGATTGAATCTATCTTTCACGATAGATTCAATGAAAGAAAGGAGTAGAAGCAGAGTTGTTCACTTAGAGTGCGTTTGGGGCGCAGACAGGACATGATAGAACAGGACAGGACAGGACAGGACAGGACAGTTGTTCAGCGTTTGGTAAGACATGACAGGACAGGACAAAACTGGTTAAAATGACCAATTTACCCCCAATAAGCTGTTTAGTGTTTTTTCACTAAATAATCAATATAATAAATGCTTACAAATACTATTTAAAAATACCAAAAAATTTCCAAAATCAATCTTAATTAAAAACTCACATTAATAAATCAAAAGATTTAAMCATCATATTCACAAACAAAAAGTGAAATGTTTACCAAAAGACTTAAACACAAAAGATCAAATGTTTACAATTGTGTACCAAAAGACTTAAACACAAAAGATCAAATGTTTACCAACCAAGTAGCATAAATCAAGTAGCAACTTTAACCAGAAAAAAATTGATGCAGGGGGCAGTGGGTTCATCATCTTCATCCACAATATCAAACACATTTACCAAAATTCAAACACATTACCAAAATTCAAACACAAATTGATGCAGGGGCAGTGGGTTCATCATCTTCATCCACAATATCAAACACATTTACCATAAATCAAGTATCAAACACAATATCAAACATATTTACCACAAATTGATGCAGGGGAAGTGGGTTCATCATCACATATGAATATTCATCATCTTCATCCACAAACAACAAAAACCCCCAAAATTGGATTTCATATGACCATACGACTAAATTTACAACAGTCGAGAAGCAAAGACCCCTAAAATTGGATTTCAGAGCTTAAATCCATCGAACAACAGTCGAGAAGCAAAGGCCATACGACTAAATTTACAGTTTCTAAGCAGTCGAGAAGCAACAGTCGAGAAGCAACAATCGATTAGAAATCGAACGACTTACCAGTCGAGAAGCAACAGTCGATTGGATATGGAGAGAAGAGTTCGGTACCGTCGATTGGAACAGTGGAGAAGAGAAGAACACCGATTGGAACTCACCGTCGATGGTCGTCGTCGATGAAGGAAGCGATGGAGGCGTTGATCGATGAAGCGATGGAGGCGATGGGTTAGGTCTTGTGAGAGCCGGGTAGGAGAAAAAGGGTAATGAGGGAAAAAGTGTTGAGTTCCACTTAGTTCTAGGGGGTAATGGTTGAACAAGCGTATCTCATGCTTGTCCAACTTAGTTCCACTTAGTTCCACATCCAGCCACACCAAACGTAGGACAAATGTATTATGTCATGTCCTGTCCCATCCTGTCCAGCATACCAAACGCACCCTTAATGAACAGAAAACTAAATACAATGTTGAAAATATAAAACCAACCTGATTAAACTGTCGATTTGTATTGTAATCTGCACGGTAAAACCTGTCCTTTAAGGTTTTATACGACCACTCTATTAACGCTGTGAGTTTGCTAGTCGCGAATCCCCAGGATTTGATGCATTATACGATTTGTTTATAAACAGCGAAAAAAACGAATATAGAGCACGGTGGATGCAGAAAATGGTAGAGAGAAAAGAATGTTTGGAAGCAGCAATCGATAGAAGGAAACTGTTTTTTTTTTCCTGGTGGTATTGGGAGTTGGCTTCAACCCAGTTTATATATTGGGTGAAGCCTCCAACTTCCCACGAAAAGCTCCCCAAAAATCGAGATCATGGTGGAGAATATTTCTCCACTAACCATTATCTCAAAATCGTGGAAGACTAAGTCAAAATCCCCTTTTTTTTAAAAATAAAAACTGTTAATTTTCCTTCTCCTCACGACTTTGTATCAAAAAGATACTCGGAATGAGGCTCCTTCTGCTCCGATGCGGCGTACGCCACCTTCGCGAATCCCGAGCCCGCATGTGTGTTGGGCCTTCCACTCAAAACCCCCACCATGAGTCCACCAACTTGTTCATAGCCCATTTCTAGAGAAAGCCTTATAAGCTTCTCTACAAAATCCTTTTCTACCAATGTGGGATGGAAGACAAACTTCCAACCCACAAATTTTCCAACAGCGCCTCCCATGTGGCTTCCCTTGGTCGCATGCCTCACATCTTCAGCACGTATGTCGGGTGACTCCAGCCCATGTTCGGGCGCCTTGCCCAAGCGGCTTAGGCCTCCCCGCATGCCACATAGACCACTGCCTCCTTTCACGTTCGAGCCCTAGACTGGCAATACATTCCAGTAGCTTAGGCTACTTTCCGTCCCGGATCAATGATTTGCACCTATCTTATCCTTCCAACCACAAACAACCACCAAAACCAAAGATAATGATTAAGGGTAAATCTAATCTTTCAGGAGCTCGGTAAATTACATAAAATGATGACATCAAGTCCCGTGATAAATTCCAACTTCGGATAATAACAACTAATTCAAATACGGGTGTTACATCCAATTCATAAGGATCTTCCAAAACGAATAAAACATAGTTTTTTCTTTGTATGAATCGGGCTTTTTTGAACTAAAATTAGTTATATCAAATGTTTCATTCAAATTTGGTACTATTATATGTTTATGATTTATGTACATAAAAATTGTGTAAAAATATTTATAAATTAAATCATTTAAACATTTACTTTATTTGTGTCATTTATAACTAGTATAGTATATATAAAATCATCAAATAACATTTAGGGGCAACTTGTCTAGTCCCATATCCAATCCTAGTCGTACCAAACACGAGACAGGCACTTGTTCTGTCCAAACCTGTTCGCTTGTCCAGTTCTCTTGTCCGGTATAATCCTATTCAATCATATCCAATCCAATCATGTATGTATACCAAATGTTACCTTAGAAGACAAAATTGAGAGAACTTGTGAACTACAATCAATATCACCAATATCTCCTAATAATTGTTAAAGTGCATATTGGTAAATTGGGAGATGAATCTTGTAGAAAGAGGAAGCATTAATTGTTGTTTGAACTTCGCAAAATAAAAACTGTTGCATTTTTATGGGATGGAGAAGTATTTTCTTTCTTTGAGAAGAGGTGAATGTAATCCTTCATATTTGCAGTCATGTATTTTAACTATTTTCCAATTGTTTGTGAACTTGCATGATGATTTTTAGATTTGCATCTGGATGTATATGAGATTCAGCAAAAGTGATGCTGCGGTAGAAGTTGCCGAGCTCTTCTTTTCAGGTAAGATATACTGAATCAGTATATAACGAAGCCAAAGTGTGTTGACGCTCCTTGGATTTGTAAGGGATGGAAAGGGGGTCCTCATATGAAGCCTTTTTTTTTATTTTAAAGATGTGCTCATTAACTCAAACCTTTGGCATTTTGGGCATGGAGGAGTAACCTTGTGAGTTGCTCTAAGGGCTCAATCCAATACTAATATTGGCATTGTATCATTTACTCTCTCCGTTCCAAAGTAAGTGTCCATGTTTCTATTTTGGTTTGTCCCAAAATAAGTTTCCACTTTCAAAAGTGAGGGCCTATTTTCCAATTTTTACCCTTAATTATAAGATGGAGGTATTCATAACTCCCTGTATTGTTAAGGGTAAAATTGTCATTTAGTTAATTAAAAAGTTTAATAGTTATACATTTCTAAAACTGTTTGTCTTTTGACAGTGAATAGCTTGTTAAGATAATTACTGCTGCAATGTTATATGATCGTCGTGTTTTTAATATCCACCTTTTTGTATCTGCAGTTATCTCACTTGGTGCTGCTGCAGGGTTCGTATTATATGGTGGGAGGTAGTTGCTTATCGCCACAGAAGAAGAACATCTTGATCTTTCTTTCCATGACTTTGCACTTTTTCCTTATTTTTATGGTGTTTGTTTCTTCTCATAGGTTGTTTGTCATGCTTAGGCGCTTTCCTATTGAATCTAGAGGCCGTCAAAAGAAGATGCACGAGGTTAACATCTCTACTTACCTCTTTGATTACTACAACTTTGGAGCTTGCTGCGTAATCAATATAACACTTGGAGTTTTAGCATTTAATTAGCAATGCAAGTCCTCTATTGTCTTGCAATCTTTTTTGTTATGCACTTTACACTACATGCTCATATAAATATCATCGTGGTATGCAAATATGACATCAATGTTGTATGAAATGGTTCTTCACTCCTTATTGGCCACATGCTTTATTCTTCATCGGGATGGAATATAGGCTCTAAATAAAGTTTGGGCGACAGTAGGTGTAGTAAGTGAACTTTCAGCTAGTTGAACTTTGATTGGTTTCTTGAAAACCAAGGCCACTTGGCGTGTATTGGGATGTTCTCATCTGAAAATGATATTATAGTCATTTGAAGTTTCTACAAATGGCCCTGGTTGTTTGTACCCATATGATATTATGGTTTAAACCCATTGTTTATGTCTGACCTAAGGCATATAGTCTGTGATAAACTCTCCCTCATACAAGACATCATAGGGATCAAAAGTGTAATCATGTGCTTGACATTGTCGGTGGTTTGTTGGTTTTGACATGTGTTTCTTGCGGAGCTTTCCTTCTTTAAGGAAAGTCAAATTTGAGCATGCTTAAAGTTTGTATTTAGAGACAATAGGAACCTTTTCAAAGTGATTTCTTCTTTGTTCTATTAATATTTGAATACATTTGGCTATTTTTGGGGGAAAAAGAATAAGTTTGGCTTTTGAACTTCTATATATGGCGTTTTGACAGGTGGGATTTGTGACGGGGATTTGCTGCAGTTGTTTCTTAATAAGATGCATAATGGTAAGTTCAAATAATTCAAAACCATTCATCCACTACATCATCTAGCCTAAGTTCCATCACTAATCTTCATGCAATTGCTTGTTTGGTTTGTTCAATAGGTTGCAATCGCCGCATTTGACAAGAATGCTGATATCCATGTCTTGAATCACCCTATCCTTGATTTTGCCTACTATATGGTAAGTTTATGAAGACTTGTCACACTAAGATTGCTAGTGTCTTACATCGGTTAAACTTGGACCAGGTCTCCGCAATATATGTTGGAATTTCCCTTTCCTACTCAAGGGCTCTGCTCTTTTGGAGAGTAATTTGGGGGTTTCACGTATTCTCATATGGTATTAGAGCCAAGGTCTACCACTTTAGAGACTCGATACGATGTGGCAATTCGTATTTATTAGCCCCCTCTCAACACATGGGAACAATCTGTACCTGTCTAGTTTCTATTCAAAGGGGCGTGTTAGTGTCCCACATTGGCTGACTTGGACCATTTCGCCTCGATATATGTTGGAACATCCCTTCTCCCAGAGGATAATATGGGGTTTCACACACGAAGATAACAAGTCTCCAATTTGAGGGGAGCAAACCATTTTACTCAACAATGGTCCATTGAATAGTCAACTTTAAGATGACATTATATTGGATAGAAATATTGCAAGGGTATGTAGTGACTGGTCCACAAGAGGAGACATGAGTGTGGGATTACAGGGTATGGGACATGTTATTCTTTCGTTATTCGTACAACTGTGCTGAAAGAATTGTATCTTTTATGGATAACCTTCTGCTTTCTCTTGCATTAATGAGGTGTATTGCCCTTTTTCCTTACGTAGATAGTGGAGATTTTGCCGTCTGCTCTTGTGCTTTTCATCTTACGAAAGCTGCCTCCGCGACGAGCATCCGATCAGTACCATCCAATCAAATGATGCTGACAATGGTAGTTTTACTTCGGAGGATCAAAGTTGATGTAGTACCAAGTTTTTTTTAAGGTGATCCTCTCTCTCTCTCTCTTTATATACATATATATATATATTATATATTCCTTTCCATGAGAATAAAATGCAGGCATAAATGTCTTGCTAACAGTATGGTGTAAATTTGTATCTCTTCCTTGTCTGAGTGCGTTCCACGAAGTGGTTGGAACCGTGCTCATAGTCTCTGATTTTATTCGAAAATGGCGTACCAAAATGGCTCACCATTCAAGCTTTATAATGAATGTCCTTTAAGATGGTACAGCTTCTATAAGCTGATCGGCATCATTATATGCCTCTCTCTCTGTCACACACTCTCACAAGTCCCGGGTCTTCACAGAAACAACCACTCTATTCCTCAGGGTAGAGGTCAGGTTTACGTACATCTTTCCCTCCCCAGTCCCCATCTTGGGGAGTTGGGGTGGGACATACTAGGTTCTTTTGGTCTGGTAATGTTGTTTATAGTTTTTTCTTTGAGTATATCACAATTAAAGCCAATTGAACCATGGGCCCTGGAAGCCATTTTGCAGGAGAAAACTGAACATGAATCTACAATCAAAGCTTCTGGGAATTGTTACATGAAGCTTGTTAACGTCACCCTACGGTTTGTGTCATCTTGCAACGATATGTGATAATTTTTACCCAATTAGTCGATAGGATCTTGCAAAGTGTCATTTTCATTTACCCAAGACAATATTTTGGTCTTCCTTTCAATGGAAGTGACCTTTTATAGTACTATCTACAGCATCTTACGAAAATCGAACATGACATCTTGTCTCTTTTTGCTCTACTTTCTCGAAAAATGACAACCCTACTTTTCGAGTGAGATATACTGGATTAGTTTGGGTTTTGGGGATGGGTATTTGCATTAGAAATCTTATTTCTGTGTCGATATTGCACTTCGTGTTAGATCTTTTTGTTCTTGGTAGATGCCGAGTTATGGGCATGAATACCAATAGCAGCAACAAGATGGAACTATAGACTTGATGTATACCTTTAACCACCGTAGCGATTGTGTAAGGCGAGGCACATGCCGTGGTGTCTTACGGCTTCTTATCATGCGAGTTTTTTTGAAGGCGTTATTTGACTTCGTTTGATTTTTAATAACTTTTTAAAAAGCATCCCTTTTTTTACTTTGTTTGAACATGTTTTCTGTTGTGAATTGGGGGATAAACGAGAGCGTGATACATGTCTCATTCATCATGAATAATTTACGTGAGTTTTTTATAATATCCATGATGAGTGTTGCAACATTTACGACGAATGATACATCATTCATGATGAATATCATGTGAACCTCCTTTGAAATATGGTTGTTGCCAACGTCAAAAGTATTTACAGACAAAAGTATTCGTTTATTGGGGAAAAATTAATATACTTCTAATGTCGAATCAGGATCAACTAGGACATAAATAAAGCATTAGGTCGAACTCTTTCTTTGGTTTCGAGATAATCGTGATGAATAGTCATCGACTTCGGGGAAAGGCTAGAAGAATGGGACCCATAAAAGAAAACAAAGATTTTATAAAACTAAAACGAATATATAAGCATAATAAACAAAACTGTATCAGAATTCGAACATTCCTAATATGAAGAATTGAGTACTGGTCAGATGCACGAGAAGTAATTAGCAAATTGGTGACATCTTCTGCATTTGGAGATAACGACTTTATTGTGTTTTAGTAGTATCCGACCTTAACTTAGTTTTTATGTAAGACTTGGTTTACCAATTGTTGAAGTTGAATTTTAGTTTTTTTATTTGAGGTAATTCAAGTATTGGATTTTATCCTTTATTTGATATAGTATTATAAATTTTAAATTAGTCGTTCTTTCTAAAATTGAGGGTGTTACAAATTACAGTACCTCAATCACCAAAACATCAATTATTTGCAAAGAGGTTGCCAGTAAAGATATAGAGAGGTCGTTTAGGGTACTCAAATCACGTTTTGCTATTAGGAATGGCAACGGGCCGGGTTCGGGTCGGGTATTTGTATCCCCTCCCCGAAACCGATAGCTAAAACCGTCCTCGTAACCGCCCCGATCCCCGTTGGGGAGCCCGTTAAGGGTAAAAATTCTCTTTTTCACCGTTGGTTATAACCGAACCCCAAACCGATCTGGAAAAAATTACAATAATGTTAATTTTCACAATTAAAAGTAAATTACAATTTTTTTAAATATGTAAGTTTAAATGTCTCAAACATAATTGAACCAGTTACAAACAATATTAGATTACAATATAAAACTAAACAGAAATTCAAACATTATACAACTAAAATCACGATTTTAGACAAATAAACTAGACTTTTTATGGGTTTTATTTGGGTTATTGAAGTAAAGTGGATACAAATCCTTTAAATTTTAATGTTACTATTTTCTTTTGAGGATATTATATATATATATATATATATATATGTGTGTGTGTGTGTGTGTGTATATATAAATTAAAATTAATATATATACAATCGGGCCGGGCTGGGCCGGTGATCACCGTCCCCGTCCCCGATAAAATGTCCCCGAACCCAGCCCTAAAGTTTCGGTTTTCGGTTTTCATCATTGGTGTCGGGTTTATTTTGCCATCCCTATTTGTTATTATTATTTGTGGGTCATTTCGCATGTGGTGCAAAAAGATAATTGGAGAAATAATGAGAGCATGTACAATCATGCACATCATGAAGATGAATGTCGTGTTTATATTCGTCAATTTGATGATATAGACGATGATGTTAATTTTATTATAATTAGGGGTGCTCATGGATTGGGTTGATCGATCGGTTTAAAGGCATTGAACAACTCAACTTAATGTTTTCTGTTTGAAAAATCTCAACCCAACACAAATCAAATATCAACTTAACCCAACCTAAACTGTACGGGTTGGTCGGGTTGATTCTTTAATACATCAAAATATTCTCCTAAGTCCTAACCTTTCATATATTGTTTTTTCTACTCATAATTCCTTCTTCGTCATCAATTATCTGGTACAACTTATTCATACTTCATAATCTTAAGTATATTGTATTCAACTATTTTTCTCAATTTGCATATATGTGTTTACGGTTACTTAACATATATACGGATAAGTTATGTTGAGATGAAGAAGAGAATGAAAGTATATGTATATGGAGGGTAAGTGATGGTGTAATTGTCATATATATATATATATATATATATATATATATATATATATAGGGGTCTATTCAAAGGAGAACTGAGTTGTTTGTGGTAACTGTGTGAACCAATATTAATCACAAATCAATAGATAAATTAGGAAATTTATAAATTTGGTAATTTTAAATTAAAATCTTAATGCAAGGATATTTTTGGTATTTTAAAACTCTCCTCTCTCCTCTCTTCTCTCTTCGGCCACCGTTTTTCGGCCTCCGGCCACCGTCCTCCGGTGATACCACTATGATACCACTGTGATACCTAAAAATATTGACTATGTTAAACAAAAGATACATTGTGATACCTAATCATATATAAGATGCATAGTGATACCACTATGTTACATCTTCGATCGACCACACAAACGACATCAATGTGATACCCAAGCACATATATGATGCATTGTGATACCATTGTAGTATCACCGGAGGACGGTGGCCGCGGACGGTGGCCGGAGGACGGTGGCCGGAGAGAGAAGAGAGGAGGGAGGAAAGTTTTAAAATACCAAAAATATCCTTACATTAATATTTTAATTCAAAATTGCCAAAATTATAAATTTCCTAATTTATCTATTGATTTGTGGTTAATATTGGTTATCACAGTTACTACAAATAACTCAGTTCTCATTTGATTAGTCTCATATATATATATATATATAGAGAGAGAGAGAGAGAGAGAGAGAGAGAGAGGCGGGTTAGATTACAAGCCACCTGATTCGTGAAAATTATGCAAACCATTCTCGATCAATAAGAAATTTTCGTTTTTTATTCTTTAATTTTAATAAGTAAGGATATAATTGTCAATTTACTGTATAATGGTTAATATTGGAAATGATTTAATTATTTTTAAATATGGAAACGTAAATATAAAATTTGTTGACTTGGAAGGTGTAAATCAATTGTTTTTAAATATAATATTGGAAATTATTTAATTATTTTAAAATATGGAAACGTAAATATATAAACCGTTTATATGAAAGGTGTAAAATCAATCGTTTTTAAATATAAAACGGTGAAACAATGAAATAATTGCATACAATGAAGATGACAGATTAATACAGTTTCATAATGTGAAACAGATTCATACAGTGAACCAGATTCACGTGTGAATAAATATTGTGAAACAGATTCATACAATGAAGAAATACATGTTCATCTAGTTAAGAAATACAGATTAATACAGTGAATCAGATTCATACAGTGATGAAATAATGTATTTCATTCAGTGAAATAGTTGCATACAGTGCTGAATCCATACAGTGAAATACAGTTTCATTCAGTGAAATAGTTGCATACAGTGAAGATGACAGTGATGATATACAATTTCATACAGTGAAACAGATTCATATGGGTGATTTGCCGATTTTGCCCTTTTTTTAATTAAAAGTTAAACTTTTTTTTAATTTCCTAATATAACACTATTTAATCTTAACCATTGATCAAAAAAATGGATGCATGTGATTGGTTTGTGAGGTTTTCACAAATGATGGTGGTTTGTAATTGATCACTCATCTCTCTCTCTCTCTCTCTCTCTCTCTCTCTCTCTCTATATATATATATATATATATATATATATATAAAAACTTAAAAAATAATATTAAACATAAGAAATAAAATGATATCGTGTTCATCGGGTTAGATTGGACTCAAATGACCGTAATTCAATTCCAACTCAATACCTAGGGTTTGAAGATTTTACAACTCGATTAGATATCAGATTGCTTCAGATTAAGTTATGTCGTCTTAGGTTAGGTTGGATTGACCACGTTGGTCCGGTTTTTGGGCAACCCCAACTATATTTATTCCTCAAATATTTCATATCATACTTCCTAAATACGAAAACTATCTCCAAAATCACACACAAGTATGTAATAGACCAACCAATCATTGTTTACAATCAGATTTGGTTAACGAGATTTGACGAAGGTTCAGATAAAAAGATGATGACGATTAATGTAATGTTTTCACTTTGTATTTTTTTATTATTTGTTTTAACATTTAATAAATGTTACGTGTTTGTCTAATATAATTTTTTCGTTTTTTATTAATAAATTAAATGTATGTGGATTGATTAAAATTATACGAAACATTAAAACATTAATTTTTTTATTTACAATTATAAACATTCATTTGTTGAATAATTTTTTTTTACAAATTAAATTAAATATATTATTTAATTTTTTTTATTTTACTTTAATATAATTATTTAATTAATAAATTATCTGGTATTAAGTTATAGTAAAAAAATTTAATAATAGCATTGTTGTTACTTGATTAAAATATAGTTTTTTTTATAACTGGTGGTTGTCTCTAAACCATACGATGCCCTTTTTTCTGAAGCTTGCCCTTTAACATCTTCCTCCACACCGTTCATATCTCTTGTCTTATTGAAGTCGGTGCACCTGCTCGTCTACGTCTTCTCATCGCTCACTCATCGACTTTATATTTGGTATGTTCTACAAACCCCAAATCCAAATATTTAACAACTCACTCTTTCTCACACACTCAACGATACGAAATCCTAAATTCTTGACAGTATTCGTCAAATTCTCTTGAATGAGACGAAGAAATTAGATTTCAACTTTCTTAAGGTAAAATCAAGAAAAAGAAGTCGAGGGGAAAATGACACATGTATGGCGATGACACCAAGATCAACGGAGTCGATGAACTTGGTGAACTTATGACAGTTGTTTTTAACACGAAGAAGGAAGTTGTTAGCATTCCAAGTCAGGAGCTTAGGGGGTTCTTTCTTTTGGGTGTTTTCATCACCATCTTCAACTGGTGGTGTGTTTGTTTCAACATCATCGGTTGACGATGGTGAAGAAGAAAAAAGAGTGGGTTTCTTAAAAGAAGCATCTTTTTTGCACTGGTTAAAAGAATCGCTTCATCCTTTGCTTCTACTGGTCACCAGTCCACATAGGTTGCTTTTGCTGGTTTAGAGAGTTTGAATCAATGAGGATTGGAGTGGTAATCATTCAGACTGTTCATTCATAACAGTTACCAAACAATGATATTTCATTTTGCGTTGTATCATACATAGCCTGTTAATCGGTCTGACCACTTAACTATTTGCATCAAATCATTCGTCAACTGCCAAACAGCCATATGGTGTTAGTCCAAGAAACCATTGTTCTAAAAATAAAAACTACCTGAACCGAATTCATAATTAATTGAATGCAAGGTGATGTTTGTTTTTTAAAAGATGCTGAAGTCTGAAGTGTTATTTCACTTCTGATTTATAAAAGGTGGTGCTGAAGTCTGAAATCTGAAATCTGAATCAATAAGACTGTTTGTTTTTATAAACTGATAAACGTCTAAATTTGTTTAAATTTTCTATTTTACCCATTAAAAAAATTATATTGTTGAATTTATAAATAAAATTTCTACATTTTCACATATTTATTCATCATCATTACGAAATTTAAATCTAAATTATATAATTAACATTCGTTTAAACGAAAATAGACCATCAACGTATTTATCACATTTAAATCCTATAAAAATATATCAATTAAGAGACGCAATGATTGATTTGGTAAGAATTGATTGACAAAAATGATCGATTAACGTTAATCGATTGAGAAACGCCGTTGTTGGGGGTTTGAAGAACAATAAGAGACAAATAAGAGGTTGAGAGGACAAAAAGACATAAGTGTATCTGAAAAATTGAAAAAAACAAACTGTCTAAATTAACTGTCTCTTAGCTAGACTAGATGGGTACTCGCACAATGCAGCGAGATACATATTGATTTTAATATTTAATTTTATTTTTTATTTCAGTCGATGTTATAATATGGTCTTATGTGATTTTGAAAAAACGATAATGTTTTTATTTTTTAATAAAATATAAATATGAAGATATCATAAAATTTTGACAAAAATTTATCGTTATTAGTATCAAATTAACCATTTAAAGTTCTTATTTGTGTGTAATATTTTAATTTAGTTTAGGTTCAATAACGAAGTAATTTATATTTGGTTTAATAATATAACTTTCTTATAAATATAATAATTAATTATTTTGTTATAACTTAATAATTATCTTAATTATGATAATTATATTTTAGTTTTTTTATATTTTAAAATGAAATGTTTATTATCTATTTGACTATGTTTATTCGTAATTAGTTACACGAATTCAAACATTAAGTTTTAATGAATTGTAATTATACGTAATTGTAATCTTGAATTTTAAGTAATATACATCAATATACAGTATGTTATACATAAAAAATGATTTTTGAAAGTTTTTATAAAATGTTTTATAATAGATAATAATATTTTTAATATAAGAGAGTCAACTTGAAAGAATCAAAGGGGTAGAGAACTGTTTGATAAAAAAAAGAAGAAAGAAAACTCGATCAAACTGTTTCTGATTTCTCACGCCTCTCTTTGAAATATCCGTTTTCCAAATATAAACCCTAATCGATCGCTTATCAAATCTTTTGTTTTTCTGCGATTTAAATGAATACATCTACATATTACCTGAAGAACCCTAGGCAATAGCTTAACGAAATTATTTTTGAATTCCAATATTTCTCGCTGAGATTTCTGGATTCGATTGAAGGGGTTACGATTGAAAGAAATAGAGGAATTCTGGTATTTGGTGGATGGTCTCATGGGGGCAACGGGGTCTAAGCTCGAGAAAGCTCTAGGAGACCAGTTTCCTGAAGGCGAACGATATTTTGGATTAGAAAACTTCGGTAACACTTGCTATTGTAACAGTGTCCTGCAGGTTCCATTTGATTTCTTCGCTTTGTTGTTTTCGTTTTGTGGTTTTTATTTGATGAATACAATCTTATTGGTTTTAATTACTTTGGTGTTTATATAAGGATTGACTTGATACTTCTTGTGGCTATTTGGAGTTAAACTTCATCAATGGAGCATGTTAATTGTAGTTCAATTGATCCACTAAACTAGAGTGTCTTCTTCTGATCAACTTTATACCGTACGTGAAATGCATATGGACTTCAGTTTGGGTCAATTTCAATTGTCAGCTTTACTTCTTGGTTGATTTTTTTACTAAAAGGGGCAGTTTTAGTTCTGTCTGCGTAGTTCTTGAGAATTCTTTGGTTTGAGAAGTTATTTCATCACTTATTTGGGTGTCTTGTGATTTTGAGGAGGAAAGGGGTGATCAGGTTGGTACTTGAACATCTTGTTAAATGGCAGAATTATGATTTGAAAGATATATTGTTGGATTAGCAGCTATCATCTGTTTTAACACTTGAGAATCTGTAAACCTCACATTCAGGTAGTTGATCTGTGATCCTTCAATTCTTATGTGAAAATGTGCTAAAACCCAGTTTCAATAACCCTCAAAAATGGTCGACACCTTGACTTAGGGGTTGTTTGGTTGGTTTTCCATTAAGTCCTGTATGAATCTGCGGCTGTGTGGATTAATAGGGTTTTTTCATGGATGGAAGGAATGTGTTTTTTAATTTTGAGGGGCATGTTTGGAAAAGACTTGGCTTTCTGCATGAAGCGCCCCTTATAAGCTTACTAAATAAGCCACTACCAAACAATTACTTATAGCGGACCAAATAAGTTGCGAGCCCCATTAAGCTAATTAAGCTGCTAAAATAGAGGCCCTTACTCTTATGTGCTTGACAATACTCTAGCTTTTTATAGATCGCATTTGACTATTTTCTGTGATTATAACAAAACACTCTCTACTTTATTCTACTCAGTCATTCTGTCATACAACGTGCTATATTTTCTCTTAGGTCGTAATGTAAATTATAAACCATGCTTTAAATTGGCTGTGCAAATGCATAATCAATCCTGATTCTTTGCATTAAATTGAACTAGCATCCCGACTAGCTGACTATCCTACTTTGTATGATTGAAGATGTAATGCACATTGAGCTGTCTTCTTGTTATTAAGCCAACACTGGCTAAATATCGTTGAGTGGTTGACTTTCCAAATTGGTGTGCTTGGCTGTTCGTTTCAAACAAACAATCATTCTTTGCAAATTTCCAAGAAAAACACTACACCTAACAAGAATGAGGGATGGTTTTGGACAAATTCTGTGAAGTACGAGATTGTTTTGCGTTCATATTTTAAAATTTGTCACTCACCATTTTCGCAAACGGTAGTGCTTTTTGGGATTTTTGCAAGAACGATAATTAGTTTACAACTACTATGATTCAAAAAGCCAGTCACTCAGTTGCTAATTAGTTTAGTACCATTTTAAAGATATTGATCCTTGTCACTTGTCTCAATGAGAGTGGAAAAATCTTTGGAGGAGCCTAGTAATTCATGCTGCTTGCTATAAATTCACTTGAACTTTGATCTAACTATGTAGTTGGTGCTCTCATATGGTTTTTTATTTTGTTTTCAGGCTCTATATTTTTGTGTTCCATTTCGTGAACAGCTACTTGAATATTATGGAAATGTTAGAAATCCAGGAGATGTAGAAGAAAATCTTCTTACATGTTTGGCAGAACTGTTTATGCAGGTACCCGATTTACTTAGCAATATGCTTAGTGCTAGTTCTGGTGTTTTGTTAATTAAATATCATATTATATACAAACATGATAACATGCACACACACACACACACACACACACACACACATATATATATATATATATATATATATATCTTGTGGATGTGGTATATGGGTAAAGTTGTTCTGAAGAAGATAATGTTCTTTTTCTTTATCCTTCTATGAGAAAGCTGAAGTGGCCAGGGATATATTGCATTTTAAAAGTATGTAAAAGCATGTCTATCTAAAATTTAAACTTGGTTTTCAGTATCATTGCTAATGCAGGTAGTTTTTTTTTATATATAGCAGATATGAATATCTTATATTTTAGCTTTAAGGGTTAACATGTCTTGCACCTTCATGATATTCTTATGTTTGTTTTTTTCTGTTTACTGTTTTCTAGTATTAGTTTTTCTTTTCAAACACTCTTCGTAATTTAGCTTTTTGGTCCCAAGTTCTTCCCAACTTTTCAATTTCTTCGAACTTTTTTTATAAACGTCCTGAAGCACCGAGGTGGCGAGGTCTTCACTTAAACCTTCAAACACCTTCCGCAAGCTGGTGTCTTCACGAAAACAACCTGCTTTACTCTGTGGGTAGAAGACAGCTCTGCGTGCATCCCACCCTTAGGCCCTACTTTCGAGCGAGACATATATGAGTGTTTGGTTTGGTTTACCTACACTTTGAGACCGTTGACATAAAATTTATTCACCAAGGGCTCGTTCAGTGACCTTTACATTTTCTGTTTTTTGTTGATAAAATTTTGTAATATAAGTAGATATGCAATTTCTGTTTGTTGCTAAAATGTAATTCTGCAAGATTTTTCTTTTTTTTAAATTCAGTATTTAATACAGAAAGATTGGATATAATGTGATTAATGAGGTTTTAAATCCAAATCTCATTTAAGTTAAAAAGAGCCAAACCTGTCTAGAAAACTTGGAAACCCTAAAATGAAGTTAACAGAACCAAATCTTTTTGTTCTCGGGTATCTTTAAAACTGCTAACACTATATTGACACAAAATGGTTGGCAATCTGTTACAGATCTCGTGATTATTGCCATAAAGGTGCCCTAGTTATCATTTGGTTGAATGTTTTCTGATGTTAAGTTATCAGCCTTAAAGCATAATGAGTAATGTGTCCCAAATATTGTAGTTAATGTGGTTTTTTGGTACTTGTATTAGATTAGCACACAAAAGAAGAAAACTGGTGTTATTGCTCCAAAACGCTTTGTACAAAGAGTGAAGAAGGAAAATGAACTTTTCCGTGGTTACATGCATCAGGTATAAGAGACACTTCTTACATCGAATATAAAATCACTTGTTTTTCTGCAAACTTTAATTGTCTGATCTCAGTGATTTAAATTCCGTGTAGGATGCACATGAATTTTTGAATTTCTTGTTAAACGAACTAGTTGACATACTAGAGAAAGAAAGCCATGCAACAAAAGGTACAAAAGAACATTCATCACCTCCTGAAAAGATTACCAATGGGATACATGTTGCTCAGGCCAATGGTGTACGGAAGGAGCCCTTAGTTACTTGGGTTCACAAAAACTTTCAGGTCAGTTTGAAAAACTGATAACTATAACCTTGCAACAAGTTATTACCTTACCATCAATATATACATATAGGGAGGTTCAAATGAGAAGTGCTAAATGTATGAGAAGTAGAGAAGTGATCCTAGCCCTTGGATCAAATGATCAATTTTTTTAAAGGAATGCTAATATGGTAACTTGAAAAAAGCAGCGCCGATAATCACGATCTCATTAACGTATTGATCACTTCATCGTGATCGTCGATGACAACAACGGAAGTCTATTCGACGATACGATCTCGATTCTATCATCGATTTCTCTCGGTTCTTTCTCGATCATATATCGCAATTCTAAGTTATCAAAATTATCAAATTTCTTATTCTTTCTCGATCAAATCTCGCATTCTTTCAATATGAATCTGAATCCAGAAAGTGATCTTGAGCAAGATGTTGATTTTGATCCTAAAACTATAATGTTGTATGTGAATCTAAGATTAATTTGTGAATCAATTAAATAGTTTATATGTGAATGACTTAAAGTAGTTCATATGTGAATCTTCGGGATCATATGTGAATCAATTAAATAGTTCATATGTGAATCATTCAGGCTCATATGTGAATCGGTTAAATAGTTCACATGTGAATCACACTGGTTCACATATGCACTTGTTCGCCGCCTATTTGTAAAAGTTACTAAACTACCCCTTTATCTTCAGCATAGTTGTTACCATGCCACCGACTCCAATCTTGACCGTTAATTTTTTAGTGGAAGGGCTAGGATCACTTCTCTACTTTTCGTACATTTAGCATTTCTCAAATAATCTATGGCTTTATATAGGGTTGGGTTCCGGTGAGAAGGAGAGTTAATGTGAGAAGCATAGGAAGGGATCTCCATCCTTGGATGCACATTAGGATGAGATGCACCAAGGTGCACAAGATAAATCCCTGTATCAAGCGCGATTCATGGGTGGGTGGGTTTGAGATTAAAGGTTATCAAGGATGGAGATCCCTTCTTATGCTTCTCATCTTAACTCTCCTTCTCACATGATCTTTCGCCTATATATATATAAAGGGGTGAACTTAACCCAAGAACTGTCAAAGTTGAACTGAACCATACTGCACTGGAACTGATGCTTTGGAAAGACGATGACCATATGGTTGCGGTTGCTTTGCTATTCTGTCTTTGTCATAGACGGTTTTAGGTTTCTCGGCCACCATATCGCCACTGAACCTAACTGATGTTTAATAAATATAAATGTATATATTTTTTTTAAGATTTATATTATATACTGTAATATAAATTCAGTTATGTAATCTTCTTCCTGTATTAGTAGCAGTCCTTTTGTGGTTCTTGTTTCTTGATTGTTGTAATATATTTTGCTCAGCCTTGCCTCACCATGTCTGTTTAAATGTACTTGCTGTTTGATTGCACACTCTCCTATTTGTGGCTTGTTCTCTTGTCTCTTTTTTGTTTTACAAGTCGGGGTCTTATAGAAACAAGGGGATAAGGGGTGGGAGAAAGGTCTGCGTACATCTTACCCCCACACCCTACCTGCGTTGCATTTACTGTGTTGGTTTGGTTTAGTTTGGTTTTACTTATTTAGTTTATTTTCAATAAAGAAATATGTACCGACCCTAATGGAACAGCAAAAGACACAACTAATCTCTTAAAGGAAGTCGAATTAATAAAAGTTAAAACCGAGTCTCAAATACACAAGCAGCTGTTCAGTGGAAATTATGCTAGTTGGACTTCAATTTTTCAAAATTTATTGGAAGTTGTAATATATGATGCTTTCCGTTGGGCTTATAATCAAAGGCCCCAACCATCCGTCAATCCACTAAGCGATGAAGCTTATGGTCGTCTGAGGCTTCCAACTTCATAAATCCGATAATTTTGGTTCATTTCAATGGACCCATCAAAAAGCAGCCGAACTGTGTTCAGCCCTAGCAATATATGATGCTATCTTCATTTTAAAAGCATCCCCTGGAACCTAGTGTCTGTAATCTTACTTATTCAACTCTGGTGACTTGTGCTCATAGATGGTTTTGTTTATGGGTTCTTGTGGTTTACAATTCAGGGTATACTTACAAACGAAACAAAGTGTTTAAGATGTGAAACTGTGACTGCAAGGGATGAGACGTTCTTAGATTTGAGCCTTGATATAGAGCAGAACAGTTCAATTACGAGTTGTCTAAAGAACTTCAGTTCGACCGAGACCTTAAATGCTGAGGATAAGTTTTTCTGCGATAAATGCTGCAGGTTTGTATGTTCTACTCGATTTTTTCTTATTTTCCTTGGGAGTATGTTTGAGTTCATGAATTATCTTGAAATGACTTTCGAGAAAAAATGTAGATTTTTTTCTGGGAAATTTGGATACTGTTTACTCTCTATGTTATATCTTGACATCACTCAAGAATGAACCCTGAAAAGCTCCATTTTTGTGTGAAGTCTGGGTGATGTTGAGTTCACGAATTAATAAACCGTAAGTGCGTTTAGTATGCAGAACAAGACGGAACAAAAACTCGTTCCACATTTGGCACGACATTAGTATGGGACAGGACCGGACTAACTGGGACAAAAATTCACATTTTTTGTCTCACTAAAATAGATGGAACAAAAATTAGGGAGATGAGACAAGATTAGTAAATCACTAAACTACCCATGTCAAGTTAAAACCTTCCACAATTCATTCACCCACTTGGGTCCCTCTTGCCTGTTCAGTTCCGTCCAGTCATGTTTGCATACCAAACGCACCCTAAAAGGTTAATGGGAGGTTGCTTGACGAGTTTTCTTCTGGTGCCCAGTTTACAGGAAGCACAAAAGAGGATGAAGATCAAGAAACCGCCTCATATTTTGGTTATACATTTGAAGCGTTTCAAGTACATGGAACAGCTTGGTCGGTACAAGAAGTTATCGTATCGTGTTGTTTTCCCTCTGGAGCTGAAGCTGACCAACACCATGGAAGACGCCGATTGTGAGTACTCTCTATTCGCAGTCGTGGTTCACGTCGGCAGCGGGCCCAACCATGGCCATTATGTCAGTCTGGTGAAAAGCCACAACCACTGGCTCTTCTTTGATGACGAAAATGTAGAGATGATCGACGAATCTGCCGTCCAAACCTCATTCGGTTCAGCTCAAGAGTATGCAAGCAACACCGATCATGGGTACATCCTGTTGTACGAGAGCCTTGCTACCAACAACACGAGCTGAACGTTGAATGGCATTTCTCGTACTTTTTTCGCGTCTATTTCTTATGTGTTTCTGTTTTTTGGCATGAAATATAGCATTTTGGATTAGATAAGAAGAAACTTGAGATGGGTTTGATGTACAGTTGATGCTGCTATTTGAGTTCATCTGTTTTTAGTAATAAAGATGCACATGTGAATGCCCAAATGTTCACATATGATTGGAATTTAAACCCTAGATAGGTAGATAACAACCATGGCTGCATGACCTATAGAACGATTTTGGTCCTGTTAATACGTTCATTTAACATTTTCGTGTTGCGGATCCTATTTATCTATACTATATATGCTAGAAGGGTATTTGTGCAATGAATCGAGATACATCTTGATTTTAATATTTCATTTTATTTTTTATCTCAGTCGATGTTATAATATGGTCTTATGTGATTTTGAAAAAGCGATGATGTTTTTATTTTTGAATAAAATATAAACTTGAAGATATCATAAAAATCTGTTAGTATCAAATTAACTATTTAAAATTCATATTTTATGTATAATTTTTTAATTCAAATTTTTTTACTATAATTTAATTTAGGTTTAATAATGAAGTAATTTATATTTGATTTAATAATATAATTTTCTTATAAAAATAATAATTAATTATTTTGTTATAACTCGATAATTATCTTAATTATATTTTAGATTTTAAAATGAGATGTTTATTCTTTATTTGATTATGGTTATCCACAGTTAGTTATACGAATTCAAACAAGGAGCTTTAATAAGTTGTATTTATGTATAATTTACTTGTAATCTTGAATTTTAAGTAATATGCATCAATATACAATACTTCATGTATAAAAAATGGTTTTTAAAAGTTTTTGTCAAATGCTTTATAATATAGCATAGATAAGCACGTAAAGTAGTTATTGTTGAAATTTAAGAGATACCATCGTCTATCCATCATGTACAAATTTTGAAGCTAAACACCTCCCTTTGAAACTTCCACAAATCAAATTATTTTTAATTTTTATGTTACATTTTATACCCTTATAATTAGTTATTTAATTTTCTTTATCTCTTTCTTTTTTATTTTTCATTTTACACCCTTATCTATACTACCTTATAGAACAGCACAAAGTATTGTACATTTTAACTTTAAATTTATATTTTATATCCCTATAATTAGTTATTAATTTACTTTATGTCCATTCCTTTTAAAATTTTCATTTTACAACTTTATCAAATTAACATACATAATCGTATATCAATTAAAACATGTTTCAAAATGAGTTCAATATTGAATATTTTTAACTTAATTATATTATTATATATCATATATACTATGAAAAAATATTTTTAATATTTACACTTTATATTTTTATAGTTATTTATTTAATTTATGGTACATCATTTATTTTTTTAATTTTCGTTTTACACCGTTATCACATTGAAATACATAATTTTATATTAACTAAAATTAGATCTAACAACGAAGTTAACCTCTCAGAAAGCATTTTCATACCCTTTATTCATCTTGTTCATCTTACATACTCATTTTTTAATATACTTTTAAATTTTAAAATTATACTTCATATTCTATAGTTACTTAATTTATTTATTTTTATAGTTTTGTTTTTTCTATTTTTTTTTGTTTTATACCATTATCACATTAAGATACATAATTATATATTAACTAAAATACGTTAAAAAATATGTTCTAATTTTAACAAATTACATCATTATAATCGTCTTGTTAATACTTTCAAAATAAGTTCAATATTGAATAGTTTTTTATTTAATTATATTATTATATCATATATTACTACGAAAAAAATATTTTTAATACTTATACTTTATACTCTTGTAGTTAATTATGTAATTTATGGTATGTCTCTTTGTTTTCCATTTTTCGTTTTATACCCTTATCACATTAACGTACATAATTGTATATTAGTTTAAAAATATGTTTTTATTTTAACAAGTTATATCATTATAAATTGTCTCCTCAATACCTTCGAAATTTATTAATATTGAATTTTTTTTTATTTACACTTTTATCATATTAACATACATAATCGTATATTAAACTAAAATACGTTAAAAAATATATTTTTATTTTAACAAATTACACTATTATAATCGTCTCGTCAATACCTTCAAAATA